GAAAAGCGACGTCACTATAAACGCTTGGGCGCCACAAGCCAGTTATCGCTGTGGTAATTTTTTTGAGGCAGGCTAAATCAAACTCCAACGCAGTTATTAAAAACGAGAGGAGAACCACAATTTACAGTTTTTTAAATAATTCCTACGACTTTTGTCATGGTAGGACTGCAACAAGGGGTGGTCGCAACCTTGTGGTAGTATTAATCTCTCTATCCAACTTGGACGATTTATTATTCTATAAGGCCTGACTTGTATTCAATCGGTTAAACACAGGGGTAAAGTGAATCAGGTGTACAAAAGAATCCTCGAACGTTTTGAGGTGATAAAGCCCCGCAAAACAGCAACAACAGAAAGACGGGACTCTTTTAGGCTAGTACCCACAAGAGTACACAGACTGGACGGTCGCTTACCTTGATTATATCCTCGGAGAGGTTAGTGTCCTTATCAAATTCGAGCATAGTACGCACGAATGTCTTCTCGTCGGCCAGCGCGTTTGTTTGATTTTTAGCGTTGCAGTTGTGCAGTGTAGTATTCAGCAAGATCGCAGCATAGGCCATGACGTAGGCTTCGTCTATAGTAGGGGATAAAGCAGACAGTACGGTGAGATATATTAAAGTATCCCGACAATGCATATATATATATAGGTCACACAATAAGAATATATATGTAGATCAGAAGGCGGGCAGTATCAACCGACACGTCGATTTGAACGAACAATATGGTGGCTTGAGATCAAAAATTACCGTACCCGTCCTATTGAAACATCGACAACCGCTAATCTGGTCACATCAACATCTACCGACCCACTATTCGCTCTTCCTCTTCCAACCGCACGCCACCCACAAACACGCGGTTTCACAAACTATGAATCACCTCACACGCCACTGGTCTAACTGTCCTGGTCGCTAAAACTGTCTATTGCACTCTTTCTCCCTCACTTCCTTTTATTTCGTCTGATGAAGAGCACGTGTCACGAGGTCAATAATTCACAAGTACATCTTGATTTTTCCGAAGAACCTCTTCTTTTCTTCATATATATACATTACCGACAAAGATAAGGGACACTAGGAAGGCCTTTTCTGGCTTATTTGCCATCATCGGCTAGTGATACCCAACTCCAGTGTTGCCGCTGAAATTGCTGCCACACACGAGTTCTGAACTCGCTATATCTCTGGTCACGGCGAATGTCCTAACAGTTGAGCTACAAGCTCACGGTCTTGCCGTCCAGATATCATTTCGTGTTCATCCTCCCCGGAAGAAGAAGAAGAGGGAGGCAAGTGCTGGGATCAAATTGTATTCAGGCTGACGATTCGAAAACATGCTCGTTCTCATCGTCAGAGCGTGATGCTTACTCTTCCGCCGGCCGGCCATTTCTGGCTTGTTAGCCGTTATCAGCCAGTCATACCCAATCTCAAGGGTCGGAACCCCCGAGAATCGAACCCGGGACTTTTGATCATTGCGATTAACACTACTACGGCACCGCTTTGTCGGTTGAGATCGGAAATATGTGAATATATGTGCGGAACTTAATTGTTCGGC